CACGCACGGTCAATTTGGATAATATTCAGGATACATCGAATGGTCTGGAAACAGTCATAGCCAAAATAGCTGAGGCTACCCTTGGAATTAATGATCCCGAAAGGAGATCCCCGTGGTTCAATGAAGAATGTAGAAGGGTAAGTGAAGCAAAAAATGTATCATACAGACTGATAGAATAGAAGCCGTATACAAGGCAGGCAACATAAAAATATAGAATGGAAAAACATGTTGAGAAGAGACTCCATAGAAAGAAAAATGAGGATGGGGGAATAAACAGTTTGAAGAAATGGAGACCCTGAGAAATACAAATAGGAATTGGATATTTTCAAAAAGTTAAGAAGAGAAGGATCCCTTTTAGGCCAAGATTTCAATCATGCAGAAAGGAGGATGGTTCACATCTCACTAATAAGAAAGAAGTACTTGAAAGATGATCTAGGTAAGAAAGATTTTAATGACCTGTTGAATGAGGGAGTGGTTGAATCGGAACAGGATTATGGGAATCATAATAACATCATGCTCAATGATAAATAAATAGAATCCCTGAGCTTGAAGAGCTCTAGGATGCGATTGCTTTGATGAAAAATCATAAGCCGCCAGGAGGTGATAGATAATACCATCTGAGATATGTAAATATGAAGAGCTACATAAGCTCATTTATGAACTGATATTCTCCATCTGGACACAGGAAACAATGGCTCTTCAATGAAAATATGCGGTCATACGTCCTGTAAGAAAGGAGTACAATTGGAATGCGCCAACTACCAAGTGATTTCGTTACTGCTGTGCGCATATAAGATACTCTCCAACATCCTCTACTACAGGCTACAGGCCCCATTCGCTGATTGACAAAGTGGTGGAAAATATCAAGCTGGTTTACGAAAGGGTAGATCAACTATTGATCAAATATTCACTCTCCGAACGATTCTAGAAATAAGTCATGAATACAAAATTCCCTCTCATCATCTGTTTATTGATTTCAAGAGCGTCTACAAAACCACAAGAGGATACAACTTGTATGAAGCAATGAAGGAAGTAAATATCCCCTCTAAACTAATTATAAAATAATGACAATGCAGGACGTGCAGTGCAGATTACGCATTCATTCGGAATGCTTCTTGGAGTTTCTCACTAATAAAGGAATGAGACAAGGTGACGCTTTGGCATGTTTATTATTTAATTTGGCTCTGGAGAAGGTGGTGAGGGACTCTGGCTTTCGGACTAGGGGCACGATATTTATCAAATATGGTGCAACATTTAGGTTATGTTGACGAGATAGATGTTGCACGGTCTTTTACAGCTCTCGAAGGTGCCTTCCTTGAATTTAAAAAGCTGCAGCTAAGATGGGACTCCACATTAATGAGAAGGAAACAAAGTACATGTATACAGGAGAAGGAGAGAATGTCCAAAACCAAATAATATCTCTTAGTCCTTGTACCTCTGAGAATGTCTAACAGTTCTCTTACCTGGGATCTCAAATTACCACAAAAAAAATGAGATACCTCTTGAAATAGCAGCTTCCAATACTATTTTCTATATTTTGTTTTCTTACTTCTAACTCTTATTTCATAATTCTGCTGTTAAACCATTTGATCCAGCGGCTTAATTATTTTTCATACACAACATTGCTTCTGCTATTTCTTCCAGGTCTGAGGGTTCAATGTCTATGGAGATTACGTCATCTCATCTCAGGAGATTACGAAAATGATGGCATCATTCTGAAAGGTAGTTTGATGTATCTTCTCTGCTCCCTCATTCAAAAGGGATTTAAAGTGCCTGACCCATTGTTTCAGGATATCTTCTTTATCAGTAAGCAAGGAACCATCTTCATTTTTACAGGCTTGAATTCTGGGTCTAAATGGAGCTCTACCGCTATTAACCTTAAAAATGTCAGGGTTTTTTAATTTACCAATGCTCTATTTCTTAGAATGAACATTTCTTCTGTCCTGAATATTTGATATCCTAGCTCAGATTTGGGCTATAATCAGGTGATAATTAGCTCCTCTAAAGTTCTGGCACTAAAAAGATTAGATCTATGATGGGAACTTATCAGGATGTGGTCCATCTGATTAAAAGTAGGACCATCTTAGGATCTCCATAACCATGTTTCTTAGTATGGCAAAATCAATTAATCTTTTTCCACTATGGTTGCTGTCTTCATGTAGGCTGTGGTTTTCAATGGTAGGCCTATGTTACAATTAACTACATTTGATTATAAATAAATCCATAAATAATAATTTCTTTAAAACTACCAATTAATTATTTATTATTATTACCAATTAAGTGTTTATTTACATTTACATTGTAATGAGCATGTAGATGAATGGAATATTTCTATAATGTATATAATATTGTATTCACTCTATCTTAGAGTATAGTAACTTTAATATTTGGGTGATCATTTGAGTTTATTTTGTTCCTAGATATTAAAACGTTTCTTGTTTTGAGTTGGTTATTTTCTTATTTCCAAAGTGTTTAACATTTAAGAAATATGTATCTAATAAATAAAAATTGTTATTGTAAAAATATTGGATAAAAATCAGTTTTTTAAAAAAAGAAAACTTACACCAGCTAAAATAAAGTATAAAAATAGTCTCCCACCCCCCCCCCTCTAACCAAGAATGGCTCAAAAAAATATTGTATCCTCCAGGCCCCCTCAAGGCCTAGATCCATATAAGTGGTTTAATATTGCTCAATATCACAGGGAGATCTACATAGGATGAGGAGGGGCTTTCCAGCTGAAGGCTCCCCCCCCCCACGATTTGGTAAATATAACCTTTCACAGAAACAAATATTAAAAACTATCTCTTAAAGTATTCTTGTTCTTGTAATTACATTTCTTACAACTTCAAGAACCACTTAAACACCATTTCATATAGGTAATTAATTTCTTTATTTTTTTTTCAAATTACTTATCGTTTTATATATATGAAAAAAAAGCTTTCAGGCTGAACCCCCCTCTCCAAAATTAAATCCTGGATCCTAGTGTTCAATATAGCCATTACATGCCCAATAATTAGAACACCTCAAATTAAATTGAAATTATTGATTGACTCAATGATAATGACCATGTAAGGGCCCTTTAACAGTGATACTCATTTAGTATTATAAAGAAATAACTACTGAAGCAAAGTTTTATTTACTTAATAACATCTGAAGAATGAACAAGTTAAAGTTATATTATAGGTAGTTTTTATGACATAGCAAAGATGCTGCCACTAGGGAAAGCAAGCAGGCCTGATGAGAGGAAGGTTAGCTAGAGTTGCAGAACTAAAGTTGGATATTCCAAAGAGGGCCTGCCTGGTCTGGCTTGCAAGATTTTATTTTTTAACATCTAAATTTACATTAAAATAAAGTATAGATAACATTACGTATATTACATTAAAATAATGTAATATATTTACATAATATTTTTGTTGTTTACTTCATAAAAGGCTTCAGGTGATGATAAATTTAATATTTGAAGAGTAACTGGGGAAATTATTCTTAGCTCTTTTGGTTTCTCTTCATAACCCTGTGGAAAAAACAGTTTCTGCTCCTCCTTCTCAATTAAATTATCCTAAATTAAATCATCCCAATATTTTATGAAGGGAGGTCAGTCTCACACTATATATCATAGTCATTTACTTAAAATAATTCATTAAAAGTTCAGTAAACCATATTGGTAATAATTATTTTATATTATAGGTAATAAACTGATTACTGAGCCAGGATAGCAAGCCTTTATGAATGGTGTGCTTTCCTTCCCCTCCCTCCTCCTTTGCATTGAAGAAGAAACATCTTTATGTTATCATGTTGCACTAAAATTTTCTTGTTGTTACTCAACAATTAATAATGTATATATATATATATATATATATATATATATATATATATATATATATATATATATATATATATATATATATATATATATAATCCCATTATTAAAAAAAAAACTTCATTCATTTAGGATAAATTTAAGTGAGATAAAAATTAATTTTCTGAGGGTTGGTATAAGAGCCTATAACTTAAATGGATCTATTGCATTGAAAAATCTATATTAAAACTAGGTACTCACCAATATGAATCTTATTAATCTGAAAGATCTATTTTTATTAATTCTTTCTATTGGTTGCTAAAAGTTAAAATCATGATTGCATCTTTCAATTGAATTCTTTAAAAGTCAATTTGATTATAAGAAAACTTTAAATTTATGTTTTTTACTCTTTCTTCCTTTATATTTCTTAACATTAATGTGTTTAAAGTTTATTTTTTAATTTAATCCACTTTTTTATACATGTATACAAAAACTGAGTTGATATGGAAATATGTTAGTGAAATGACCAACAGGAGAATAAATGGTGTTATATTTGTTTAATTCTAACTGACAGTTACTCTTTAACTATTATAATATCAATTAGGATTCTTTGCATAAGACAGATGTAATAGATTTGATTATTTATGTAATTGAACACTCAAGAAGATTCAGAACAACTGAAATCTTTAGAAATAGATATATTGATTTTTTTACAAAATAAAAAATATAAATTTTTGGACTTAAATTTCCTAAATATAATGCTTTTACTAAAACGGCCTACTGACTAGATTAGTATAAAATTCATAAATACAGTTATCTAGTATCTAGCACGAACTCTTGGAAATGTGTTTAATATTTTTTGACATAGTATCATATAAAAAAGCTTCATTGAAATCAGTGATACCATGTTTGCAGCCTACCCAGTAATTGGGGTACTTCACAGTTTTACCATAAATAAGATTATAATAATAAAAAATTACATTAATAAAAAATATTCAGAAAATTAATTTATAGATGGAAGATAAAAGGGTTTTACCAAATATTAGTATTTATAATGTGTTCTTTATTATTATTATATTAATAATGTTCTTTATTATTAATCAAAGTAGAAAATGTTAAGCTTATATCATTATAATCAACTGTATGAATTTCTTTGTTCTCCATTGAGGAAAAAGCATCCATGATTGAGCTAAATGGTGTCATAAAAACATTCACTATATCTATAAAATATTTTTCACAGAGGTAAAAACAAAAATACTTTTAATTCATATTTTTTTAATTAAAATTTGTTCACTCATACAATCATACACTTCAGCCATACTTTACACATTCATTAACTGTTTTTGTGATGCATATTAACATACTTACATAGAGGTAAGAACGATATTTGGCACTACTGTATATGGCTATTAACAAAATAATTTTGTAATTTATCGACATTCACATTTTAAACAAATAATAGTTAAGATATGTACAAAATCAAACTAATATACACAATTCAATAAAAAATAGTCCAATGTACAATTTGATATGGCATTCAAGTTATTGATATAAAATTAGACAGAGCGATTGAGCACAGTCATTTTATATGTATACACATTATCAGTCACAACACAGAAAATTGTACTTTTTCCTATATACACAAACGAAGAAGGCTTTTAAGACCTTTCGAAGAATTATTTACAAAACTAACAATTAACTACTGGAAAAACGTATTTTTGATTCACAATCAGTCACAAGTTTCTCCGTAGTTCTTATAACTGTCGGTAAATTAACTTAAATATTTGAATCAATATGATCCGTTTGAGCCGTAAGCAACATTTATCATACATATTCCTCAGAAGGCTTTGCTGCTCCATTGGGTAGCCTAAGAGATGAAGACACCCTGCCTTGCGATTCTGGCATCTCAGCAATGTCTTTAAAAACACCAACTAGGGAATCGAAATTAGGTCCCCAGTTAAGGAGGTAGTCTAGGCCAATAACAGCTGGGGAACCGTTTCTTGGCCTATAGGGTGGATGAGAATCATCATCACTGGCCACTAGCGTACTCAGTGAGCCACGAAAAGATGAATCAAAATCGAATTGCTTTCGAGCTTTTTCTCCTCCTGATCCACTTGCATTATCATATTCTATTTCTGAGCAAGTAAATGAATCATTTCCACTCTCATCTGTCGTAGTCGAGCCATCAGGTTCTTCTTGTTGTCCCCGGACCGCTGGGGAAGAACTGCTGACAGCATCCAGTGTGGAAACAAGGCTGGAAGCTCTAGGCCTAGCATTAAGCCTTGAGATCTCATCGGGTGTTAATAGATCTCCTGGCGGTGCTTTTCGGGAGCCACTGCTTTGACCGCTGAGCTGTGACATAACAGGACTGTTCAAACTTCTTTCACTATTTGAATGTAATACATCTTTTCCTACTCCTCCTGAAGATGAGGTCGCTGCTAGCAGGGCTGATTGCAATGGTTTTCCACTAATGTCCTAAATAAAAAAAGAAAGTAATGTTACTCAAATTGTAAGCAATTAGATATTAATTATGTAAAATATTATTAATGTATAGACAACAATCTTATGATCTAAGTTTTAGAATTTAAGTACAACTAAACCTATTTCATACATATCCAATGCTTTTGGCAACATTCTAAACTTTTTATCAGCAAGTCATTTTCTATGAAAATGTAGTAATATTTTAAGTGTTTTAAAAAAAAAAAAACATTTAATGCAAACTACTCTTCTTTCAAATTTTTTTTCTAATGCTTAAGTAAACTGATGATATAAAATGTAGAGTATACACCTGGGGTCTGTAAAGTGTGGTCTGGATTATGTAATGGTAAAATTTCAAAAACTATATAAAAAAAGAACTATTATATTAATTAAATAAAATCAAAGGCTCATATAAATAAAATTGTCTATAAAGTTACTATAGATTAGCTATGATTTAATATTTTTTCAAATTTTACTTATGATTGTTAGCCTAAAATATTTTTTAATTTTTCTTTATCATTTAATATCCTTACTATGAAATTTTCAATTTCATCTATGCTATTTATGAATTAATTAAGCTGTTATACCTGTAATGTAAGTATTCTTGGCATTTGCTGAGACAATTCAGATGATGGACTTAAGCGTGCCAGTGGAGTTATTTTATTTGGCGAATCTACTCTTGATACAGGAGGGGGAGGCCGTGAAGGAAAGTGAGGAGAGTGTCTATGAGGACCTGGAGTATGTTTGTGGTAAACTGGTGCACCTGGAGGTAAATGAGGAGGTGTAGATTTGAATTTCCGAACATTTCCAGATCCTTCTCGATAACCTAAAATACAAATTTGGAAAATAAAATTCTATTTTATTGATTTACACCTAACATTTCCAATATCAACATTATTTTATATAATTGAAGACTTACGATTAAAGAACATCTTATCACACCAACCTTTATAGTGATAGACTATATCGATGTCTGATGGTGCTATTGAACTGGTGTTATCGAGGTCATAATGTTCTTGTTCTGAATCATCATGTGGATGATGAGGTAGTGGTGGGTGATGATCATCACCTCTAGGTGGAGGTGATTTAGTTACTACTTCTCTTTCTATAATATCAGGTCGTTGTACACGAGCCTGAAGTTCACACATGCCTTCCTGGTCTTTGTATCTAAAAAAAATGGTTTTTATATATTTTCAGCATAGATTTATTACTAAGAAAATAATACAGCTTTATGTTGAACTAACTTGATGTAAACCTATATTAAATTAAAAATGTAATGTAATGATTTTAGTGATACTTTTTTATATAACCAATTCAAACCATAAGTCTGGTGAAGAATAGTTTATAACAGGAGTAGCCAGAAGGGGATTTCATGGCGCAAGCTATGAAATTAAAGTTTTTAATGGAGAGGGAGACATATTTTCACTGGGTTATAAATTTTTGAAGGGAATATGAATTTTATACGTTTTTAGAGTTTCAATTTGGAGGAACTAAAAATTATAATGCAAAATTCTTCTTGCTAAAGTAAAAAAAATATTATTTTTATTTTTCAGTTTATATTGTAATATGAAAATAATTTTTTCTTATGAAGTCATAAGAAATTAACTTACTTTTTAGAAATAAGCTCAGGAGCTACAAGGTGATGACTAGTCCTTATAACTTCACCATTTTCTGAGATAAAACTTGTAACAGCTGATTCTGTTCCATCTGGACCTGGTGATGAGAGAGCTGGTCCTCCTACTGTTTTTCCGCTCCCACTTCCCTTTTCTTTTTTCTGTCTTCGTAGACGAAATACAAGAAAGGAAACAAGTATTGCTACTAATAGTATAACAAAAAAGACTAAGACTAGAGAAATTCCAATTGATAGTGGGTCAGTTGTAACTGCAGCACCAACACTTGTTCCTGAGCAACCAACAGACACACCAGGTCCGACAGGCATGACGTCAGAGAATATTGAACCTGATCCATTTATTAGTGGTTGAATTTCTGAATTTATTGTAAAATTTGCTAAGCACCCTGTGAAACCTGTAAAGACATTGCAACATTATGACATTGTTCTTATCAATAAATTTCTTTAGTAAAGATGAATAATTAAGGTTAAAAGTTTTATACCGGTAACACGTATATCTCTCCCAGGAATAGGATCTGGATGTGAACCTCCAAGACGAAGAAGAGTCAAATAGGGATCAAGAAAATCATGTACTCCAGCTGAGTCTAATTCATCTCCTACTCGATTTCCATCTATGATAACTCTTAGTCCTCGATACTGAGAAAAGAGGGTAAGATTATGCCAAACTCCATCAGTAAGTTGTAAATTCGGGATTGTCATATTCACTGCTGCAGCTCCACCAAGTTGTGAAATGTATACCAAGTGCCCATTCATTAGCTAAAACAATTTTTAAAATTAAATGTTTTTCTAAATTTATGGTATTTTTTTAGCTAATTATAATTCATTGGTTCAGTTTTGACTAAGTTTAACATAGTAGTATTATTTTCTATAGGGTTAATATTACTAACCTTCACAAACGTGTAATCACTGTTAGTTGCTGCAAAAATGATGACTCCATCTGATTTCATTGTTCTGAACATAATGCTCATCTGTTTAGGGGGCTGTAGTGTTGATACTGATGATTTACCAATAGTTCTCCTACTTCTGTCCATATTTCTTGATAACCAGGATGTTGAACCCCAATAAATTGATTCAAGCAATTGCATTCTTCGATGCCTTTCAGATATTAAAATCTATGCAAGAGTAAAATTATAATTAAATTTAAACATTATTAAAAAAAAAAACCTGTATGTATATATAACCTAAATATAGCCCACTGTTAAGAATTCAAAATTGTAAAAGATTATTGGCGAATTTTTTGGTCCACCATAATATACATATTATGTTATGTTAAGTTAGATTTTGAACATGAATCAAAAGTTTGTAAATTTGTGTTTAGTTTACCTCTAGATATGCACCACCAGAAAGCGATATAGGTTGAAGTGATGCTTTACAATCAGGTGATGACAATTCACTACCTTCGCAACGGCAAGATACATTGTTCCATAAATCTGAGCATTGTCCATTTCCACATGTATCTTCAGCATCTGAGCATGGAGACTTTATTCCACGAGGACATGTTGGTGAGACACCTCTTGAGCTGAGTGCTGTTGATAAATTAAGTCCTCGACCATTAACTAAAACAGAATGGACACACCCTACAAGGTCATCAGAGTGGACTTGTCCAGGTCGTTCCAGTATGGCATCGGCTCCAACTACTCCTCCAATATACATGGGCATGTTGTTGAAGTTCAGTGTTCTAAAAGATATTAAAATGAAATAGAATTTGGTCAAACAATTTTTTATTTAAAAATTTGTAATTTTAGAATAACTTAATAAATCATTTATATTATAAACTGACTCACCCAGAAGGACCAACTGCTGTTGCATAGCAAGAAGTGTCTCCTGGTTTGCAGTCTTGACAAGAGTCTCCATTATCAGTACATGTAGCAGTGATTAAAGATATAAGCCTTCCGTTTCTTGTAGCAGTGATCCTGTGCCATTCTCCATCAGCTAATGAGTTTCCAGTTTTCACTGAAGTTATAACTGTTCTGGTCCCTCCATATGAAAAATATGCTTTTCCATCAACAAGTTCTAATGCAACAAAATCTGATCTCCCTCCAGTCTGAGGTCCATAGTTGTAAACTAATAAAGAATCTGGTTTAGTCGTAGCAAAAGTAATAGAAATGTCATTAGTACCACCATCCAGAGATGGGAAAGCCATATATGAAAGTCCTCCAAAACCAAATGTTGCTTTGTCACAGTGTTTTCCATGTCTTGATTCTGGGCAACTACACCGATATCCTGGTTTTAATGATATACATAGTCCCCCATTAAGGCAAGGATTGGGTCTACAGGAGTCCATAACAGTTTCACACTGATTTCCACGATATCCTGGTCTGCAGAGACAGAAGAAAGAAGAACCATCAGGGCTTTCTCTGCATGAGCCACCATTTCTACAGGGATTTCCACTGCATAGATCTCCTCTCTCCGACTCACAAAATTTTCCTTCTCGGGTCGGTGGACATAAGCATTGAAAATCAAACCCATTTCTTTTGCATGTTCCACCTTCTTGACAGGGATTAGGAGAACATGGATCTTGTCTTTTTTCACATCTTGTTCCAGTAAATCCTTCTGGACATCTACAAGTGAACTCATGGTTCACTAGGGGCGAAGTTAAAATTAAAGATTGACTGTCTGTTATTCTCGTATCTTCATATACAGTGATACCTTCAGTGCAGATACCACCATTTTGACAAGTTAAATTATGACAAGGTGAGTAGCCAACTGTAACCATAGGTGACTGTACCAGAGCCCTAATTGCATCTTGTTTTCTTGATAATGTTGCAATCACCTGTGGTTTACTTTTAAAACCTTTATTGTTACTTTTTACTGCCAGTGTAAGTTCTAGCCCATCTTCATTTTCATGCATACTGTATAGATATGGAGAATCTGTTGGTTCAAATGTATTTTTTAATAACTCTGTAAAAGTTCTGTAGTGATGGGAGAGAAACTCATGAGCTGTCATATTTTCTATTCTTAGTGTCAAACTGTTTTGAACTGTGTTGTTATCAAATGACAAAAATTCTAAAGTTACTGTTGACACAACATCTGGATGTCTACCATCATTTCCAGATACACTGAATGAATATTTTGTTCCAATGTCTATACAAGAAGTATGAAGGCTGCAACCTGTTGGTATACTAAGAATACCCCTTATAGTTGGGTTATCCAGAAGGTTACAGTGGTATTCTCCTGTTGTGTCAGCATCATTTGGATGAACATCAGCAATTTTTCCAGTGGGAAATATACCATTAAATGTGTGAACTAGTATGTGTACCGATCTTGGGGTGGAAGGGCTATCATTTTGATCCAGTACCACTATAGAAACCGGATGTTGAGATCTCATTTTGGGATGTCCACTATCTTCAATTTCAACCTGAATGGAAAAAAAAAAAAAAATTAATATAAAGTCCTAAAGAAAACACTTAGTAATTCAATGAATGGAAAAATGCATACAAATATACCATATCTTCAAAAGAATAAAATGATCAACTTACCAAGATTTCTAATTTTGGAGTAGCTTCTCTATCAATCATTCTTGTAGTCCTTATTACACCAGAATTAGGTTCAACCATGACAGAATCTTTTCCCATTCCTCCCAAAAGGTGAAAAGTGAATGGAGCCCCATTTGGTGGAAGATCAGGATCTTTTGCTGTTAATGTCATGATACTGGTGTTGGGGGGTTCATTTTCAACTACATATCCAATTGCTTGTGGGGGGTCAAATACAGGGCCATTATCATTGACATCTGTGACTATCACCTTTACAGTGGCAGTCCCAGTTTCAGGAGGAGTTCCAGAATCTATAGCACCAACAACTATCGTATAGAATGGCATTGTTTCACGATCAAGCGCTGCTGTAGTTTCTATCTCACCTGACTGTGGGTCTATTTTAAAAACATTGCCAATATTTCCACTCACTATTGAATAACTAAATTGATTATTTTGGAATCGAACATCTTTGTCCACAGCCTTTACAGTAATTAGTTTGGTACCTCTGGCAACTGCTTCAGAAATGTCGGTTTCATATAAGGATTGCAAAAATTCTGGGGGATCATTTCCATCTTGAATTGATATTATGACCTGTGATTCATCTGTATCATTTCCTCTTATGCCTCCTGCATTTTTAGCTATAACCGTCAAAACAACACGATTTTGTGTCTCCCGGTCAAGTCTCCTGGCAACAGTAATGGTACCACTTTCTGGATTTATGTTAAATCCTTTATCGTTACTCGACCCAACAAATAAATAGTATACTTTACCATCTTCACCTGAATCTTGGTCAGTTGCTTGAATCATACCAATACTTGTCCCAACTTCTGCAGATTCTGATACATCAAAGTGGAATACTGGTTGAACAAACGATGGATAATATTCATTAACACCTGATACTTTCACAACAACTTTTGTAGAGCCGTACATAGGGGAATCAGGATTGACAGCAAGTATGTCTAGAGTGTACATGTTTCTTTCTTCATAATCAAATTTGACTTTAGAAGTGATTGACCCAGTTTTCATATCAATCTTAAAATAATCTTTTCCTGAACCTCCAACTATGGAATATTGTATTATAGCATTCTTTGGAGAATCAATATCTGTGGCTTGTACTTGATAGACAAGACTGTCAGGTGGAGAATTTTCAGGTATTGTAGCTTCATAAACTGTTTGATTGAAAACAGGAGGGTTATCATTTATGTCAGTTAAAATAACTGTTAGCATTGCCATTGAACTTTTTGGCACAAATCCTAAATCTGTTGCAGTTATATTTAAACGGTATTCACGAACAGTGTCGTAATCCAGCTCATGGAGTATTGTGACTGCTCCTGATACAGGATTAACCATAAAATGTTCTTCTGTATTGCCATTTGATATTAAGTATCGTACCATACCATTTGGTCCATCATCTGCATCAGTAGCTGCAACTGTTACTAAAGGATATCCTATTGGTTCATTTTCATGGACATTTACTTGATAACTTAGTGCTGTAAAGACTGGAGTATATCTATTTTCACCAGTAACAACTAATGTAACAGGTATTTCATCATGCTGTGGAGGAACACCGTGATCAGTTGCTCTAATTGTTAAGAAATACTGTGTCAGTATAGCAACCTTATTCAGATATGGTTGCCTGAGTATTAGCCATCCATTATCTTTATTAATACTGAAGATACCTGTACCGTTGCCACCAATAATTGAATATTCAATTTCTGCATTTATACCATAATCTTGTTCATCCTTTGCTTCAACTTTGATTATATGTTGGCCAGGCTTAGCTGTTTGTAATACAGGTGAAAAGTATTCTCGTTGTACAAACTTGGGTGCATTATTATTTGCATCAACAACATTGATTGTAACAAGGCATTCTGAAGACATCGGAGGTTTACCATTATCTGTCGCTAAAACAGTAAGTGAATATTGATTTTCCGGAGAGGAGTCTAATGCTGTGTATTTGTATCTTAAAGCTCTCTTTGAAAATAGTTCACCACTTGCTGGATCTATGGTAAATAAATCTGAAGGATGCTTCAGAGAATAAGATATTACAGAATTAGGACCTTGCTTATCCCTATCAGACGCAACCACTTGACCAACAAACATAACATTTCTTTGTAGTTCAGGAAAATTAAAACTATAATATGAATGGTCAAACTCTGGAGCATTATCATTTTGATCCTGGATAGTTATTGTAAGTGGTGTTTCTGATTTCCATGCTCCATCATAAGAAAGAACTTTGAGGAAATATTCATCCTGTGTTTCCCTGTCTAATGGTCCTACAACTGTTACATTCCCTGTAATAGGATCAATTGAAAATTTATTGCCCGGGTTTTGTGTGAAACTATAGGTAGCATTAGCATTTTCTCCAATGTCTAGGTCAGAACTGGTTACTTTAATAACAAAAGACCCAGACTCAGCATTTTCTGTGACATTTACACTGAATAAACGAGTAAATCTTGGTGGGCTGTCATTTTTATCCAATACGGTCACCAAAACTGTTGCAGATCCAGTCATTTGTGGAGTACCTTCATCCACAGCTTCTACAATGAGTTGATAGCTAGAAATTCTCTCTCTGTCCAGTTTTGTATTAGTATATATTTCTCCTGTGGATGAATCGATAGAGAAAGTTTCGTCAATATCATCTCGAAGTCTGTAGGTAACAACACCATTCATACCTGAGTCTGCATCTGTTGCCTTAACAGTTACTACCTCTTGAGGCGGCAATTCTTCTTCCATCACTTGTGGATTATAAACAGGTGATTCCATAATTGGAGCGTTATCATTAGCATCTGTTATATTGATTACAATCCTTAGCACAGATCTCAGTGGTGGATTATCAGAATCACTTGCTTCTACCCACACTTCATATTGAGGGGATGTTTCAAAATCTAGACCACCGCCAGCAACTAATACCTCACCGGTGGTGGGATCTACTTTTATTGCTTCTCCTATGTTGCTTCCAGCAATAGCAAATTGTATTACCCCCACTTTTCCTTGTTTGGGAGATGTTGCAGTCACTCTAGTTATTACCTTTCCTGCTTCTACATCTTCAGCAAGTGTGTATTCTGTGAGAGAAGGTGCTCGTATTACTGGAAAACTGCTTGCTGCCATGAGATGAACAGTAAGTTCGATAGTGGCTGTACGAGGTTCTTTACCTCCATCTCTTGCCTCAACTCTTAAATTATACACTGATTTATCACGTAGTTCTGTTCTTGCTTTAACTACTCCTGTTATTGGCTCCATAGTAAACCTGTTTGCATCCATTCCTGCTAGGGCATAGAGTATCTTGCTGTTTTCACCTTCATCTTCATCTACTGCCTTGGCTCCAAACACAAATTGTCCTGTAATAGATTAATATATCAGAATATGCATATATTATATTTATACAATTATTTATAATTTATTATAACTAAATGCCATACCAGGTAGTATTTTATCAGGGATATAGACTGTGTATGTACTCGTTTGGAACTGAGGACTGTTGTCATTTTCATCGCTCACTATGATTGTTAAGTTGACTGCAGTTGCTCTAGGCTCTGTGGCACTGCAATCTCTAGCCACAACAGTCAAATAGTATACCCTGGTTTGTTCTCTGTCTAACATTTCTTTTGTTGTAATTTTTCCTGTTTCAGCATCAACAATAAATCGCTCTGCATTTTCTCCAACTAGATTATATCTAAAATAAAATAATATAATAATTTATCTGGCCAGATGTAAAATTTTAATTTCTTTACTTTTTTGTTATTCTGAAGGGACTTCGTCCCAGAATAAAATTATTTTTCTATTCTATTTCTATTCTATAAAGAAATTATTAATTAAAAAGTTTAAAGATACAATGTGTAGTGCGGTTTCTCATAAATATAAATAAAAAAATTAATAGATTTTACTTACTTAATTTTTGCATTGTCTCCTTCATCTAAATCTGTTGCAGATGTTTGCACAACATAAGTTCCAGGTGGCTTGTTTTCCTCTACAACCGCTACATATACAGATCTATCAAACTCTGGACTGTGGTCATTAACATCCTCAACAACAACACGCACACTACCAGATCCTGTCAGAGGTGGTGTACCTGAGAAAAACAATTAAATTGTTATGAAAGTTTAAGTTAAAACTGGGCAAATGTTTGCTGCTTAGTAATATATATTATATTACAGGTATGTCTTAACTATATACATTCTTAACATTATTTCCATGTGCTATATATTCGACAACCTTATTAAAACAATGAATAGATGTGATTCTAAATAACATTATTGGCAATTATCTTATTCATTAAACGGTGAACAATTTTTTTTTTAAATAGAGGGGTGCCCCCTGTCCATCTAACTGCGGACCAACCACCATTTTATAAATTGTACAACAGTTCATCGGTTAAACAATAACAATGATATTTTATTTAGTATTTTATAACAATAAAAGATAAATGTAAACAATGAATGATATTTCTAATAATAATTAGATATAAATATTAAATATAAATTTTACTACATGAATAAGATTCTATTCGCTTAGCTTAGGGAAGAGCATGAATTTCAAAACTTCATTCAAAATTCAATTTTTTTAAATTTATTTATTTAATTTTTTTTTTGTAGTACATTGAGACACTGCATTATTTTCTTCCTTTCTAATAGTATAAAAGAAGAATGGCCCATGTATGCCAAATCTTGATTGATATCAGTCCAGAATTTCATTTTGGGGGAGGCTTCAGCTGAAAGATTTTTTTTTTAATATATAATGATATTTTCTTTGGTAGAAAAAGAACGAACCTAACTACCTATACGAGATGGTGTTTAAGTGATTTTTTAAGTCTATTATATGTAATTACACGGAAAATAATACTTTAAGAGAAACTTTTTAAATATTTTTTTAATAACACATGGTAATATTTACGTTTTGGGGGAGAGGGACTTCAGCCTAAAAGCCTCCTAGTAAGTTGGTATTAGTCCAACCATTTTGATTTTAGAATATTACTCTTCATTTCAGTTGTTATGTTGAAATTAAAAATGGAGGATGAGAAATTAAACTTAATGATCATAGAATGGGTTTAATTAAAAAACAAATCAGATAGAACTATCCTAGATACAGATATAAACATTACACTCGCGATTAATATTAATGTGGTCTTCTTGGGAGGGGCAGATAGCTCGTTGGTGCAAATGCACTTTTCCTGTATCATCTTCAGAGGAAGAGGAGGAGGGGGAGGGGAAGAAGAGGAGGGAGTGGTAGGAGAATCTGTAGTTAAGAAGAGCAATGAATTCTAAACATACTTGTACTATTAAGTCCTCACCGCTTTTTAATCTGTCCAATTTCGGGGTTCTTTTACTCCTATATTCTAATTATGAAGGCATCAGTTTAGGATTTTTATTACCTAATATCCAAATAAAATTTTCAAAATGTTCTTTGAAAAAATTCTAAACATCGATTTTGTAACAAGCTTATATATGGCTGTATATGCATCTAAGATTCACTAAACTATCATATTCTTTTGGAATATAATCAACACTGTCCTAAATCTTTTGAAATATAGCAATATATCGATAAAAAAACCTATACATCGCCAGTGATAGTGCAAAATATATGTAAAAGTATAGTTGTTTTACAGAAGAGCATAAAAACTGATTATTTCTTCATGATTTACTAATATAATTTCATATTTTATTTTCCTCTGCTATTTTTCATAGTAATAGACCACTTATTGCAGTTGCAGACTACAAAATTTTCAGTTAAACACTAATAGAATAGACATGGACAATTGCTACATACGACCTTTTAGTAGCAATATCTCAATTAACTGCAAAGTCGGTCCGAACTAGATACCCTCCTCTCCCCCCCCCCTTCTATTACTATTTCTTTAACCAGACGATTCATTAGTTTTCAACTTTCCTTCTTATTCTATTGCCGATAAACCTTTGCCTAATAAGAACTTCAACCGAAAGAACCGATTCAGATCTGTCATCACAATACGAAAAATGGTTATTTAAAGTTCTAACCGATTGTTAAATAGCTGCTAGTCCATCGACAGGAGAGGTTATTTTGGATAAAAATAAATGTACAGCTAAATTTCTACTTTTTAATCCTTATTTTGAACTTGTGAATAAAGGAATTTATCATTTGTATAAATGTTATGTAGAACATTTTACAATTATTGTTGATAGAAGAAAGAGGAGAAAAAAAAAGTTAGCAACTTATTCGAAGGAACAACACATTTGAAGAAATGTGAATATATCTGCGAAGATAGGCCTTTATATATATATAAAAAAAAATCTGAACTATACAATCGTAACATTAAAGTGAGTCCATTTTTCCGTTAGATTTTTACGGAGTGTAGACTACGACTATGACATTCACTCTTCATTAATTTGTTTCAAATTCAAATCACAAACCTTCAGCTATTCTGCAAAAGTCTGTAATTTTATTGGAAATTGGAAAAAAGAGGTTTGGGATTTTCTGGTCAAGTCTGACTTCGCATGTATTCAGACATATTAAACAAAAAAAACATTACATTTTTGTCTTTTTTTTTAAAAAAAAAGGTTGATAATTAAAATAGGAATTGATTAGAAAATTTAGCACATAAAATTAAAAAAAAAAAAGAGGATTTATTCGTATTCTGAATATCTTTCTAAGTATCTTTAGTTTTTATATATACAAGCTTTTGCAAGGAGAATGTCGAATTGATGACGGTGATATGCGAGATATTTACATTGCTAGACGCCCTTACTCTAATGAAGTGATTACTTTAAAGAATAAAGCCTTCTAACCAACGAGAACTTTTCTCTAGAGGTGAGGTATATGTTTAAATGGAGTATTTTCTTTTAAAATGTAAAAATAGTTTGAATATTTATTATTATATTACCGAAGCAATTTGTTTATGAATTTGAAGTGAATATTTTGGCATCTCATATTAACCATTATTCGTTATCATAACAATATAGCTTGTTTCGATATTCAAATGTGTTGTTACCAGTGTATTAGTTTATTGTTTTTTAATTAATAATTAATTAATAAACTATGACTAATTGGTAATCAAGGTATTGTATATCACAACATATGTAATTGACCATGAAATAAGGCGAGAGATGAATGTGTGGGAAATTAGATTAGGTAAAATATTCACTTAATTAGATATGTAAAATAAGTTTTAGGATGGAAGAGCGGTTCATGTGGGGAAGGGGGGAGTTTCCTCACTGCTACATATATATTTAATGAGCCACCCTCCTGGGAACAGTGGTTCCTAGATCTAATTAGCTTTGTTATCAACTAACTCATTTTCATCTTGGCCTGGGCCGTCATACGTTCAATCTCTATTGCAAACGTGACCAGTTAAGATAGATGATTCGACTATTTCTTAAGGTGACCGTGCCTGTCGAACAGTTTGTTTCTCTTTTGTAATGGTTTATTTCACACCCTTCTCTTTAAATCCTTTTCTATTCGAGCATATATTGATAGTACTTTCAGGCATACTCTTTAATGTGTTTTCGCCTTTTCAACTCGTTTTCCTCTGTTGGAACACCTCTTTTTGTTATATTTATAAATAAATGGTCTTTTATTTATTTACATGGAGTTTGACAATTAGATAATAAATATTTTGTGCTGTCGACTATAACTCTAACAATTTTTTACAAAGTGAATTTATTTTTTCTACGAGACATTACATTTTCATAAAGGAGTCCCACCGTCGAAGCTATTAGTCCGTGGTACAGATCCCTTTATATCAAATTGTTAACATTCAACTAATATTACATGAATGGCTTCATCTCATCCTGATCAAATAATCTTACGATTCAGCCCGAAACCTCCCATAGATACGCCAGAGCAATGAGACGAAGCTATTCAAAAAGTTTTAGGCTATGTTAATAATTTAATAAAAAAGTGTCTGTGCCACGGAATATACATGAATGAGATGTTAGCGTAGAGTGAAGTTCCGGCTCTCAAGAGCGATGGACGTTGATGAATGAGATATCTAATGAACATAACTAATCTAACATTAATTAAACTTTTTTTTAACTTATCCATTGGAATTTACTAAATAAATACAACTAGTAAATATGAGAAAATCAAGAAAAATGACATGAAGAGACTTGTGGAGACACTACCCAATGGTAACACTCCCTAAATAGTTCTAAGTAAAAAGATCACGAGACCATCTTCTTTTCGCACGCCTAGGAGGATTATTATGAATTGAGGAAGAAGCAAGATAGGGAAAAAGTGGATTCGAATGGGATTGGAGTTTGTCATGAAAGAATATATATCTTGGGCTAAATCAGCGACATATGGAACATTAAGGATTTTGGATTGTAAGGATTGGATACAAAAGGAATTCGATGGTTTGGTGGAGTCATAAAGCTTAACATCCTACGTCCATAAATGAGCCTTTTATAATTTATTAGTCTTTAATTAGTGTTAAAGAATAAATTTTCACCGATTGTGTTGTTTGAACAGACTACCTTGATATTAATATATTGTATATACGAATAAACATGTTACACTAGTTATGTCGCATTAGGGAGAATTAGAGTTAACAAATGTGAGTTCTCACTGGAACAGTGTTCTGACGCTGACTTAATACCATTTCATTTTTGTATATATGAGTAAAATCATTTTTTTAAGAACAGTGGTATACGATCTCGAAATCGATTTTCTATAAATATTGGTAGTTCTCTTTTTAAATCACATAAATAAATAAAAAAATATGATTTTATATGGTTTGAAGGCAATAAATTACTTCCAGCCATGGTGAATATAAATGTATATTTGTAAAAATAAGATCAATAATTAAATAATATGGAACCAATCGATTTTCACAAAATGATAAATACAAAAAAAAAGTTCTGTTTATTTTAAGCGCAATTATGCTTATATATTATTATTGGTATGTTGAAATTTAATTAAAATGATGTTTTTCCACTGAAGATGGAAAGTTCTTATTGTAAATAGAATGAGCAACGATTTTCATTTCAACGTTGAAGATCTACAAGGTGATGATTCTCTGTCGGCCATACTGTTTAATTTAGCTCTCGACAAAGCCCTAAAAACAATTGACTGAATAGGACGTTTGGTAACCCGTACCTCAAAGATTTTCGTATATACAGATGACCTTGTGGTTCTTGAAAGAAGTGAATGAGCGATAAGGGAAGTCCTCACTCAACTGGTGCCCGTATGTAAAAATGTTTGATTAGAGATAAACGAACCGAATACAAAGTTGTTGGTGGTGTCTGCATCTGGAGCAAGAACGTTGGCCGATTTCTAGTTTAATGATTATTCGTTTGAAGTGGCTGAACACTTTACTTATCTTGGAGTATATACCAATTGTGTGAATCAATCAGAGACGAGATCAGGAAATGGATCATGGTAGGAAATAGAGCGTACTACGGTCTTGTAAATCTCTTCAAATCACCACTTCTCTCTAGAGCAACCAAGATGAAGCTTTACAAATCGCTTGTCAGGCCTGTTATTAAGTATGGCACAGAATTCTGGACGCTGAAAGCTACAGACCAGCACATGCTAAGTGTGTTTACATGGAAGATTCTAAGGCGTATATTTGGTCCAGTTCCCGTCCATGGTTTGTGGCGCATTAGAAATAACCAGAAGATGGAAGACTTAATGAGGCATGAAAATATATGTCGTTACATAAAATCAATAAGAATGAGCTGACTTGGTCATGTGCAGATAATGGAATATGATAGAACGACAAAGAGAATAATAGGAGAGAACGTGTCCGGCAAAACAAAAAGAGGACGCCCCTAGAAGACGATGGCTGGGTGACTTACAGGAGGAGCGGGACGCATGGAATCGAATTTACGGGAGGCCAAAGTCCACCATGGACTGTTATGCCGGCGAAAATTGATAATTTTTTTTGGAAGAGGGAGTGAAAAAAAAAAACTTAATACGGGTGCAGTTCTGATTAGTGCAGTATGCCATTGTATATCAGGTAAGTGGAGAGAAACTTACTGATTTTTTTTTAAATTTCAAAATCATGATAAAATAGAAGATTAGATTGATATCAATCACTTAATTATAATTAATTGAACTATCGGAAAAAAGTTGTAGTAAAAAGAAGAAAATATATATTTGTTATTGAATTTTAAAGATTTTTTTTTCAGTTTAATGGTTTTCAGATGGTTTGCAATCTTCGTTTCCAGTGTACATTTCCCCAGGGAGGATGACTTGGAGATAATTGGAATAGGGACTGAGAGCTGAAGGTAAAGTCGTAAATATAGTAGAAGTGATAAATAACTGTGGAAGGCAAGATTCGCTTGTCTAACTAAAGCAGTACGAGGACTAGAGCCGGCTCAGTAAATAACAACACTAGCACCTTGCTGCACTATCAATAATCAGTTCTCTCCCTCTCTGATTGACTGATTTATCTCTTGTTTGTTCGTTATATATCAGGCATTAGGCTCTCCTTACCAATCACCATCTTGTTAACACCCTTTATGTATATCACTACTTCAACCGATCATTTTTTTTTTAATTTCAAAAATGTGTTTATAATAAAGGCGCACAGATTTTCCTGATGACTTAAAAGTAGTTATTTTTGTCAGGTTCGTTTGTTGGATGTGGTTGGGCAATGGACGAATTCGCTGACGGTGTAGAACGGATGCTGATGATATAGTAATTAGCCTAGGGGGCGTGGTTTCTGACACGCCCCCTAGTTCCCCATTGGCCCTTCCGCCTCCTGTATATCAATATGCACTAGTTAACAAACTGGATAATTATTAGTTATTGTAGAAAGCAGGTTCCGCGCCATCATGATCCTCTTCTTTCCCATTCCTCCTCAAATTTGCTACCGTTCTGTAAATCCAATTTCAGAGTTTCATTTTTTCCCTCTTTTGTTATTATATTGTCCATTTTTTAACTCGTTAAAACTTTCAGAAAAAAACAGTTGCAATTATTACAACAACCCAATTTTCAAATGTTCATAATTGTCAGAGAACTATTTTAATATTGTCATATTTATATCAATCTAAAACGTTTTGAAAGACATTTAAGAATCACAACAGTGCCATTAAAACGATATTACGGGCTTTGCGATGTCACTCTGATTTACGTCGGTTAAAACTTATCTTTAAAACAGCTCAAATTTTTCTTTGTTTATTTTATTAGACACTAAAAACTCGTTAACACACATTTGCTTTATACCTGGATCGTAAGATAATATCATCACAAAATAGATAAAAAAGGTGGCCTATAAAAATATTGGGACGTTTGTCATATATAACCTCGTTATTTTGAAAATTTGGGGGTGTAGGTCACGCCAAAAGGTTCAATATTTTTGAAGGCTACCTTTTTTATCGATTTTGTGATCATATTATCGTACGATTCAACTAGAAAGCAAATGTGTATTTAAGAGTTTTTAGTTCCCAATTAAATAGACAAAGTTTGTCCCCCTCCAGATTGAAAACTGAAAACCCAATTCCAAGAGTTTTCATAAATAAAACAGTTGCAGGTTACGATGAGGTGAAACTATTTATGAAGTTTCAGGCAGATGTTAATAATTCGATAAAAAGGGGTCTGTATCACGGACTATCATTGATTCAATACCAACATCAATATTCGAATCAACATCAATATTCAACAAAATACTATGTGATATCTCCGGCCCAAAGTTAAAACCAGGTATGCGAAAATTCTTAATTTTAAGAATACGAGGATTGAAGTTTTCTCCAACTTCCAATAATCAAACAAATCATATTCTGTGGTATTTTAGTCGCTGAAATGACCTAAATTTAAATTAATTAAATTTTAATTAAAAACCATATTTCACATTGCTGGTTTTACCGTTTTACGTTACAATAGACTGTTACTAATTAGATAGGGGTCCTTTCAGCAAATTTGAAATAATTAATTTTTATGATAATCAAATGTGTTGGTTATCCAGCATTTTGCTATGGTAATAAGCAAGTTAGTATATTACATTTATTTTTTATTGAAGTATTTGCTCCTCTCGGGTTCTTTCTTTACACTTGGAATTACAAAGACAATTTTTTTTTTTTGTAATAATAAATGAATAAAAAAATATATTTTATTTTAAAACCTGATCAGTATTTGTGTTTTCAGTATATTATACTGATTTTATGGTTGGAATTATTTGCACGCCCCTTTTACAAAAATCGGCTGTGAAAAAAAACCAAATTAAATTTTAAGTACGATACTATTAGATTGAATAATTTTATTCAAAACCACCTTCAGATCTTCAAAAATGGTTCGAGAAATGGAAAATGAAAATAAATAGTAGCAAATCCATCCACATGACTTTCTCCCTTAGGAAAGCCTCATGTCTACCCATAATCATTGACAATAACCCAGTGCCTTCAAAAAACTATGTACGGTACCTTGGACTATACTTGGACAAAACACTTACCTGGAACATACATACTAAATTAAACAGACAAGAACTGAATAGACGATTTTACCAACTCTCACATCTTCTGGACTACATATCCTCAAATAACTTTAGAAACAAGCAAATGATCTACAACACCATACTGAGACTAATTAGGATATGCGGAGCAGAACTTTAGGATTCGGTAAAACATGGACACATACATATAATACAAACAACACAATAAAAAATTCTACGAAAAATTGTCAACGCACACTGCACATACATTTCAAATACATCCACAAGAAATACACTTAATTTCATTATTTAATTCTAAATAACTCCGATCCATTAGTCCTTTCTATTTCCTGCTCCCTGTTACCTGATCGTAGCTTGCGTATAAGTTTTTATGGTCATAGTGGGTTCTGTCTCTTCATTTGTGTGGTAAATTGTGGCGGTTGATCTTTTGGTTGTGTTTATTTCGTTGTCACGCTGACGTTGGAGGTTGTCTGGCTATATGTGCGTTGGGACACACGGCGGTTTTGTGTGTTGGGTTGTTTTGGCGTTTTGTTTTGTGGTCGGCGATCGTTGGGGGATGTTTTTATTGGATGGTGGGGGGGTTTTGTAATGGGTGTGGGGAGTGTAGTGGATCGGATGGGAGTTGGTGTGGGAGGCTATAATAGGGTATGTTAGGATTGGTGTGTTTGGAGGGGGTTGATGTGAGTGGGGTTTGGTAGTTGTTGGGTTAGGTGAGTGGGGGGGTGTGGGAGTTGGGGTGAGGAGGGGATGTGGGGGGGAATGAGAGGGGAGAGAGGAGGGAGTGAATGGGTAAGGGTGTGGGTGGGTGGGTGGGGCGTGGGGCGGCGCGCGTGTGTGTTATGTTTTGATCATTTAGGAGTCCATAAAATCGAGTTAATTTCTACGCTTGCTGAAATATCTGAAGGGGCCGTGCGGGATTGCGGGACCGCAAGGCGCAGCGCAAACCAAAAAAAAGAAGTTGAGGAGTCAGTCTCCCGCAAATGCGAAAATTTATTACCTACTCTCCAACCAGCCGACGGCCTGCCCTCAGAAAAATAATCTCTCTCATAAATCTTCCTAAAGTTGATTTTTAAATTTTATTTTCCAGAATTAATAGTAAAGGGCTTCTACGAATTATATCCGAGAAATGTGTGGTACATAAAGATACTGAATTCACAAGCTTTTGGCATTAGCTGTCAAAACTTTAAATACATCTAACTTATTTTCTCGTTTATGTTATTATTTTTTTATATTTTCTCTTTTTAGAAAATGACCGTTGAGGGAACTGCATTGCATTTTTAAGAAAAATTTACGTAGGGGTCTTGTGATTCAATTTTAGCAAATTTATCATTATATTTCCGTGACGTTTCGGAAATTCGTTGCTTCCATATTAATGCCTTACAATGGATATTAGGTTTGTAAACAACTTTTTGTGAAAATTATTTTTAAACCCCGAAATTATTAACGATTAGAATAGGTAATACTGTTGAGTTATTACTAAAACTAAAACAATTAATCAAGGGAAGCAAGAGACTAATCTTTTATTACGATTTTTGAAAATTTTGAATAACTTCGTTGAGCATTAAATAAATGGTAAATTAAAAGTCTTGAAATGTTGCCGAAATATACTAATATATATTGATTAAAACAGAATCTCAAGATTCTTAAAAAATATTTATTGTTTAATATTCGAGATTATAGAAATCAATGTATATATTTACATTGGAATGAATTTTTTTTTTTACCAACTTTAAGTTTAAACTGTAATTGTAATGGTTTGAAATTTGCTTATTTTCTATCGTCTGAGGATTTTTTTTTTTCAAATAGTATTTAATTTTTCAGTTTTTCGTTTTTAATTTATTCTTATAATATCTGATTGTTAATTACACAGAATGCTTCTTAAAGAATATAAACTCCAAGCGTTAGGAAGATAAATTTGTGTTGAAACAACGAATTAGTGAGCTAATTTAATATGGAATAAATTTCGAATTGAAGTAATTGTGTTGGACAGAATATTAATTCAGTAAATGAATTATTTTTCGTTTTTTTATTCCAAAATAATTTAATGTGGATATTAGTTTCCAACAATAACGTTAAATAATGTTAGTATATTGAAAATTGTTATGTCTGTCCTATATTTAAATTGTTATGTAAATATTTGCTCTGGAAACATTTTAAGGTGATTATGATTATTTGGGGTAGTGGATTCACTTTTTTCACTCTCATTTGGACTTCTTGCCCGAAAATTGTGGATCTGCAAGTGATGAACATGGTGAGCGATTTCACCAAGATATATCCTCGATGGAACGAAGCACTTTTGAAGCCTAAAAATTATCATGTAACTTCCAACAACTTAACTTTTTGTATTCGATACTGGGTATACGTATCTGCAGAACTGTAGCTAATACAAGGATTCTGACAGAAAATTCGAGTTTCTCACACCAAAATTATTAAGGAGAAACAGTTTTCATCGAAGATACACACAAAAAAATGTTTAGTATGGCAGTGTAATTATAGACATACAACAAAATAAATAAAATAAAAATATTATTTTTCGATGATTGATCGGAAGTCAGATTACTTCCTATCTTATTGGTGGGTTTCATAGTTTTAAGTTCTGTTTTGTTCATTATTATTTTGATGGATAGATCGAACTCAGAGAAGCTTTAGAAATCGAATTAAGGCGACGCCACCTGGGCCGTATAGGGTGCCGTTGGATTGACAGCTTACACGACGTGAAAACAAATTTGATTTGACAAGTTCTTCGGGATGTTGAACATGTTGATGCTATGGGCTAAAATAGTTAGGTTATCGGTCGTTGAAAGAATCCCAATAATATATTATTCAATCGTTTGATTCACTAAATCAGATAGCTGTGGCATCCATGAAAGACGAGATTATACATCGATTAGTTTTTTTTATTTTATTTTATTTGTTTATCAATTTATATATATCTCTTGGTTTCAATGGGAGAAAGGCATTGATGTTACAGGGAAGAATCTTAATGATGTTGTTAGAATATAATTATTTATTTCAGGATACTTTGCTTGCATCCAGATTTTGTCCAACCGTCCAGG